CCCCTTTTTTTCTGAATCAATCAGAAGATTTGTTTGTGAATTTATGGAATCAGAATCTGACTCAGATTCTGACTAATCTACAGTAGTCTCTTGAAATTACAGTATATTCAGGGCCATGCTTAATTGTAATCTAGTAAACATACTATTAAACAAATCTGGTTTTTGTGTACAAAAACCTTGTAATGTTTATTAAAAACTTGCCCAATTTTGTGAAGATATACTTACTACATTAATAGGCACAATATGTATAGATTCATGATTACATGATAATTAAAAGGTCAGTCAAAATGACTGAGCTCATAAATAGAGTGTTAAGTCAAATGTAACAAAAATAATCAATTAATAGAAATCAGGGTTTCTGATTATTACTATTTTCAATTATGTCACTAACAAAGTAATCAAAACATTGCCATTATGTTTGTTACTAAGCATAGAGCTATATAATGGGCTATCTGTGCTCTGCTTACTGTGGGTACCAAAACCCATTTTAGCATTATATATATATAATGGTTTGCGGAACAGTGTACTAATCAACTGATCAAACAAATTAATAAATACTTCCTCAGGGGACTACTAAAATAATTTATGATTTAATAAAACACGAGTTATGATACCAAATTTAAGAAATTATGTTTATTTACTTGTTAGGCTTAAAGTCAAATTGGGTGGAATTTAATTCATATATTTAAGAAAATCCAGGGATTACAAAAGCTGAATTAGCACTCCATATGAATTCTGGAAATATAAAATTGAAAACAGTGACACCAAAGGATGTATGAAAAATGGTTGGCTGTAAATGTAACACTTAACAGTAAGGATTTCTTTAAGTATATTAAAGGTAAACAATATGTTGGGATTTGAGTAGGACCCTTGAAGGATGATATAGGAAGGCTTGTATCTGATGATTATGAAATGGCAGGATTATTAAATTCTGCTTTTCCTTCAGTTTTTACTGATGAAGATGTAAGCAGTATTCCTCATCTCGACCAGGTGATAGATGAAAATAAAGTCAGATAATATGATTGCATTAATTCTGAGCTTAAAAAAAAATTGGAAAGTTTAAGAAATGATAAGGCTTCTGGGCCAGATAATATTTTCCCAAAGGTTTTGAAGGATGTTAATGATTGGATATGTGAGCCACTTGCTACTATTAAGTCCTTGAATAGTGGGCAGATGCCAAAGGATTGGAAGTTAGCTAATGTTACTACTCTTTTCAAGGGAGGTAATAAAAATTGTCCCAGTAATTATAGGCCTATTACTCTTACATCAATTGTGGAAAAGTTTTGGAAATTCTGATAAAGATGCTTTGTAATGTCATTTAACAAATTAGAATTTTATTGGATAATCAACATGGTTTCACTAAGGGAAAAACCTTGCACAACAAATATTTTGACATTCTTTGAAAAGGTTACTGCCTATGTAGATGAGGATAAGGGTATATATTTGGTGTATCTAGATTTTCAAAAAGCCATTAACAAGGTTCCACATAAAAGGCTTGTAAAAATTTATCTCTATAGGTGTGGGGGATAAGTTAGCAAATTCGATAGAAGAATAACTAGATGGAAGAAAGCAGAGGATTGTTATAATTGGAGTTCAATCAAACTGGATTAATAACACAAGTGGGGTACATCAGGACTCAGTCCTAGGACCTTTGCTCTTTTGATTTACATCAATGACACAGATGAAGGAAAGGTCAATAAATTACTTTAATTTGCTGATAATATTAAGGTCTTGGGTGTTGCTAACTGGAGGAGGAGGATGCTGCTTTACAAAAGGATTTAGATCATTTAGTGAGTTGGGCAAATAAATGGTAGATGGGTTTTAATTACAATAAATGCAAGATAATGCATGTGGGTTATCATAATTTAAATTATAATTATAAGTTGGATGGGAATAGCCTTAACAGTGTCATGAAAAAAAGGAATCTTGGTGTAATGGTTGATCAGTCTCTTAAGCCATCCAAGCAGTGTGTTGCTGCTAGTGGTAGGGCAAATAGTATTTTTAGCTTTTAGCTACAGAAATATTGAATACAAGTCTAAAGAGGTTATAATTTCATTGTATAGGTCACTAAATAGGCCACATTTAGAGTATAGTGTTCAATCTTGGGCTCCTTACCTTAGGAAAGACAATGAGTTGTTGGAAAGGGTTCAGAGGAGGGCTACTAGAATGGTTGCTTGGGGATGGAGAGGTTGAAATCTCTGAAATTGTTTCCTTTTTTGAAAGAGAAGAATTATAGGGGATTTGATTCAGATGTTCAAGATTGTAAAGAAAATTGATAGTGTTGATGCATTATCTTTTTTTTTCATACTTAATGGCGAGAATAGTAGGACTAGGGGACAGAAATATAAATTTTATCAAGGTGGAAGTCAGCTTTAGCTAAGATAGTTTTATTTTTGTAACAGTGTCATTGGCCTCTGGAATAGGTTACCTTTGGATGTTCTGCAGGCAGTAAATTTAAGCGAGTTTAAGAGAAATCTTGATAACTATACAAATGATAATGACTGCCTTTTAGATTTATATTTTATTTTATATATTTTTTTAATTTATTTATTTAATATTTTTAGTATAGTTAAGATGATGGGGCAGCCGAGGTGGACCAATAGGTCCCTTGTTGTCCTTAAACATTATGTTAAAGGTAAAAAATACAGGCTATCCAAGTTAGTTACAGTACAAATTAGTTCATGATGTCAGGAAAACATGTAGGTTCAATAAGCCTTGATACAAAATGATAAAAACCCTGTAACCTGAGCACTTTCGAAAGGTGGACCTTTCTTCTTCAAGGCCAAACTGGGACGAATTTCTTAATATCGAGAATTACTTTAAAATATAAATTTTGGAAAGGTTTATTGCAAGAGATACTTTCAAATGTTCTTAAAATAATAACTTCCTAAGCTCCATTATATAGGTGTTCAGACAGAAATTTTTAAAACAATTTAATGTGTACTTCTTTTATAGGTTTTTTAGGTAGTTACCAATGAATTAGTTTGGTCTAATGACCTACTGTGATTTGTCTCTTTATATGTATGCGGATGAAACTAAGGCACTAATTCATAATTCTTTATGGATATTTAATATACTCAGAGTTTTTAGAGCATTTACCAGCAAACATAATTCATTGTTTTCACAATAAAATTTTTCTTACCTCATATTGCATGGTGCCATCAACCGAACAGTATATTGCCTATCCTTTGGAAGTCTTAGTCTTGGAATTTTAGAGGGATCGAAATCTGGTGGGTAGTATTTCTATGGATATGACAACAGAACAAAATTATGTCTTAAATAAGTGTATTCTTGACATGCAATACAGTTATTTCATTTCGGATTCAAGATGTAAAATTGAACATACACACATATACCACACAAGGTACTGTATAAATTCTTGGATGGCTACACATACTTTCAGGATGCATCAAATTTACACATACACAAACATAGAGCTTGATTTTTAGGTATGGTGTGAATGAAATGACCTGTGATCAATCTAAATATGGCTCAGCCCGTCACAGTCATAGATACTGATGAGTGAGCACACCTTTACTAGCACCCCATATATATATAATTTATAGATCATGATATTTACTTGCACTTGAAAACTGACTGATGTAATTTACAAATTATATAATCAGTTGTAAGAACTTATAACAGTATTCAAATACTACATATCTTACTCTCACTCTCAGTAAAAGTAAAACTAAGAGTTCTGTAGACTCCTATATATTTGTTTCTACTTCTAGGGTCAGTATGGGATAGTTTTAAATTTAAGACGTCTCTACATAACATTTCACCGTAATAAGATACGACTCAAAAAATGAGATTACTTACATTGAGAACTTTACGTTCAGACATTTTGAATAACCCTAATTTTGCTCAGATATATAAAATCAAACACAACAGCCTGAACGGGACAACAGGCCTAAAAATAAAACTAATGCGTACTGGTTACAACTTCGAGATGAGGACTCGTTTTAATTATTACTCGTGAAGTTTGTTACATATTTTAAATTATGTAACTAATTACTTGTTTTCCAAGATGTAAATAATAATATTTTAATAACTACTCTAACAACCGTGCGTTTAGTTTTTAATTATTATTTTTTTCTAAATTAAAGCATTCACTTCTTTAAATATAAAACTATTACGTATGTTTCTGATACATATAGGATTGTTAGTTGAAGTGACATCTACTGGAATCTATGGGTGGTTAAATAATATGAGTCACATAACTTGTTTTAACTAAATATTGAGAAAATTTTAGGCCGCTTTTAAATTTCGTAATATTGTTGAGGGGAGTTTGATTTCAGAAGCAAAACACACAATTAACAATTAAACTAATTTAAATCAACTATTAGATCTTTGTGTTAGTGGTGAATTTATTAAGTCTTCCGTGTGTTCAGTCATTTGGGAAATTTAATCAGTCTTCAAAATTGTAAGCAGCCACTTAGGGAAATTGAGATATACAAGGACGTTGATCATTATCGAAACACTTCAAAAAAAAATCGTCGTACATTTGTTACAGCTCTCAAGTTGGTCAGCGGCAAGTGCAAGGACTTATAACGCTAAACCCAGAGTTCGTATCCCCGCAGTCAGTAGCGTGCAGAGGGGGGGGGGGCGAAAGGTGCCGGGGCCCCTGGTATCCATATCGGGAGGGTATCCAACGCAAAGAGTCGAATCGAATAGTAGAACCCTTTCCGCCCTTCCCCAAGGTCTTAGGTACAAGACCCCGGGCATCATAGAACCTCTGCACGCCACTGCCCGCAGTAGACAAAGCGCAGACAGCCCATTGTGTAGCTTTGCTCTAAAGGACGAACAATCAAACCTTTTTTTTTTTTGGAAATTTAATATCACAATTCAGACTATCCTAGTCCATATTTATTTAGGTAACAAATATTTTTCTATTTAAAATAGTGATTTAAAAAATATAAATACAGATACAATTCGTTGTCCTAACTATGTAGTGATGTGGTACTTCTACTTTCACTGACTTATTATTCAGAAAAGTATAATCTTACGAAAATAACTGGAGCAAATTTGAGTTTTTGGTCTTGACTGGGTTTTCAACAAAGAAAAAGACTGAACTCAATCTAAAAAAAAACAATATTTATTCACAACATACACAATCTAGGTGTACGAGTGTATTTGAGGACTAGATATCCCTTCTATCTTATTTTTGAAACGTATCTCCAGGAGGAATCCTTGAACAGGAACAAGAGCTAACCGTTACATAGAAACAAATAAGATAATCTTTCTCAGAACGCATATGTTGCCGACATCACTCTTGGTCATCCCAAAAGTAAAACAGAGGGGATAAAACAAAACTCATCAATGATTACCAAAAGCCACCGCTAAGATCTATACAGTGTAAATCAGTTATCTGTATTACAGCAACCTTTTCCACAAGAATGCACACGTGATATCAAATTGGAATAACTAAAACCGACGTCTAACAACTAGAAGAACAGCGGTTTAGTCATAATTCTTAACCAACTTTCTGTTGTTAACCTGAAACACATGCTAAAACACGAATATGTGTGAAAAGCTTTGAAACAAGAAATGTTCAGCTGTCAAAACTAAAAAAGTAAAAGACACGCTATACAAGGTGTAAAAACACAGGAAATTATAATTATCATTCATTACAAATAAAATTTAATACTTGTTTGTTTGTTTGCATTCAAACACAAAGCTACACAATTGGCTATCTGTGCTCTGCCCGCTACGGGTATGAAAACCCGGTTTCTGGCGTTGTAAGTCCACAGTCATACCGCTGTGTCACTGGGGAGCATAATTAAATGCACATTTTAAGTAAAAGTATAACAAAAATATCTACAAAAGGATTAATTATAGTGCAAAGATAATGTTAAAGCCACAGATACAAACTTGTTGAAGAGTTTGAGCAATTAAGAGTGTTTTCAACATCCACCATATTCTCTAGCAATTGACGCTTTCTTATATAATGAACCTTTAAAGCATGAATGAAATTGCAAAGGAATACCTTTAAACATTTACCACCATTTCTCAACAGTTTTCTAAGCCTCGAGTCCACCCATAGTGGCAGCGAAAGGTTTTTTGAGATAATTGCCAAATAAAATCATAATTTCAGGGGCATCTAATATTCCCTCATATTATTTCATCTTAGTTGATATCCTTTTATTCTTAATATAAAAAGTTCTAAAATAAACAGAAATTCGTAAATATATATTTTTTGGCATATATTTCTGTGTCAACTCTGTCGAGTAACGGTAATGGAGAGCTTGCAACATTCAATATAGACATTGGTTATTATCACAGTAAAAGCAACTGTATTAATTTATTGATAAAGCTCTTGAAAATAGCATTAGAAATCTTTATTAATTATAAAGTTTCCGAGTTTGTTTGTTTTTTTGTAAAACACTATGCCTTTGTTTATAGCATTGCCTCTACAGGGTTGACATTTAATATGAAATATTTTTTGAACTACAAATTTTAACATTTACGATAGGAAAACAGAATTATTAAGATTCACCAAGCTTTGTGATTAAGATATGTGATTACCCAGTTAATAGAGAAGAAATTAATGTTTGATTAATTCGCGCAAACAAAATCCACAGGTTTTTAACATCATTCAACCAAAATTCTTAAAATTTGGATTAAATTAACTCTTAAATGTGAATAGCGTATCTTATTCATTAGGCAAGTAATCGTTTACAATTTTTTTACAGTTTATGGAATTCGGAGTTCGTTTTGGTGCACAAATGTCACCGGTCAGTATTTGGTATGGCCTCCATGTCAATCACAGGCAGCTTAAGCACGGCATGCTCTTCAGCATGGATGTCAGGATATTGACTGGAATATCTTACCATGCATCAAGTACAGTCTCATGAAGACCATTATGTTGTTAGGTTAACAATGCATTTTATTGTTGAAATCGGTGACTGCTGACCAGAGGCTTTCTATTGGGTTCATATCAGTTAATACTGCTGGCCACTTCATGTGCTCCACCTCTTGCTGTTGGAAGAAATTCTCGATGATTCAGGCTCTATGTGGCCTGATGTTGTCATCTTGCAAAATAAAATTAATCTGAAAAGCCCCTCTCGCAAATAGAAGCAAGTTTTCCACTAATATGTGTTTGTACTGATGGTAATCCAGGTTTTCATCAATAATGCAAAGGTCACTCTTACCCACAGAGTGAAATTCATCACAGGCTGTCACACTACCACTTCCAGCTTGCTCTTTTGGCTGGATGCAACCACTGCTGTAGGCCTCATGGATTTGTCTTCACACACTGACATGGCCATCATGGCAAAATACTTCAAATCTGGTTTAATCACTATACTTCACATGTTGCTAGAGTTCTGACTGCCATCTTTGTCCACCACGAGTATGGAAACCCGGATTTGAGCGTTATAAGTCCACAGACATACCGCTATGTCACTGTATATGTTAATAAAGTTAAGTGTTTTTATATCATATATGATGAAGATATGAGGCACAATTTTTCAGATATAGTACCGCTTGGTGATACGAGTGCGTATATAACATTTTTTTATGAAGTTTGCTACTAAACAATAGATTTCATCATTGTTGTTTTGCTTTAATTAGCTCATAACACAAACATACACCTTTTTCCAATTTCCATCACACGCATAACCTGAAGTTTCTTAGAAATAATCAATAGATATTCATTAAATTCCATACAGCATTAAATCAGATATGAAACTACATAAACCATCATATAAAAAGAAGATTGTGCAAAGAAATGAATCCACTGTATAATGTTATTCCACTGAATTATTCTTAAAGTTACATTTAAATTTTATTCCTAATAACTGCTGAAATTACTGAATAGTTTTAGAACTATTTTATATAATCTAACTGCAGTGATGACGTCACCACAATTATCTATTAATGCTGGCCAACTTCTGCAGGGATCAAAGTCCACCAATGCTACATGTAACTTGCTTCTTCTTTTACATGTATTTTCCGTCACCAACGATTATCTTTTATTTTCATGTCGATAAGACTTTACGCGCTTAACATTAAACGGTTTCAAGTTCTTCCATGTTTTAAAGCTTTTATTTGTTAGTAGCATTTCATTATAGTCTAGTAAACTGAATTGGTTCTGTCTTTATCTTATCGTATGAAAAATGATAATTTCCAATATTAAAAACAAAGGTATTAATTACAAAGTCAGCTTCCTTATGTCTTAAAACTTTAATTACCTAAAGTAACATTCTATAGTTGAGATGGGCTGTAAAGGTAAGACTTTACTCATTTTTTACCTCTTGTTTTTCTTTTAAGCAATAATCTAAAAGCATTTGTTTCGTTGAAATAATTTCACCTTGAAAAGATTGGAAACAATTAACAATATATAACATACGATCTTATATACAACTGCGAATTACCAAATATTTCGCTACACAACTTGTTAGCTTTCGAAACTGTTAGAAACAGTGTTTTGTTTACCTTGGCAAATTTGTAGTGAAGATAAATTACTATTTATACTTATTTTTGCCCGGATCTTTATTTTCGTTATAACATTTTATGATTTAGAACGTTAATATGCAAGCTTTGTCAAGGTAATATGAATTTTAACTTATATTGTCTGTTGTCTTTCATGAAACACACATGTCACACATATGGAGATGATGGACGTTTCAGTTACATCATTTCAAGTATAATTTTCATCTCACAAAATAGTTTTTATTTATTAATAATTATGTAATATGAATATATTTGAAAATTATGCATAACGTCAAATTAAGAGCTTGGTAGTAGAGTTGACTGATGAACCTTACCCAACATACTACTTTTGTATACAATTTGTGTTCTTTTAATGTTCTCCTAACCATGTTAGGTCACATAAATTTCTTTAACGTGTGCATCATCAATATTTTTAGTTTGTTCAAGTGTATTAAATTTCATATGCATTTTTCACTTGGAAGTTAAGACTATGCCATATTACAATATTATCGGTTTATTTTTACTCCTAATTAGCTGCTATAGTAGCTCTTATTTTCTCAGTCAACAATACTAAAGCAGTCTTTATTTCTTAATTAATGTTATCTCTCCAAACACTTTTTGGCTGTTCTTATTCTAGGCTGCGAATTACCATGCGAATGATTTATAAGTAACATACACAATTCTGTTACTCTGTTATTATATTATTCTTTTAAAACTCCGAATTTGTCAAAAATTGTTCCGTAAGTTAAAACCCTCCTATTCTTTTACTACATACTAGATTAATTATAGGGGTTTTACATCCATATTTTCTACGAATTACGCAGTTGTTTATAAAATGACGTCATTATATCATATAATTTTAATTTTGATAACAAACAAGTAAAAGTTTAGAACTCTTCAAATTATTTACGCTTTAAATGTGACTTTTTTGTTTTTATGGCATGCGTTCATATACGTAAGGCACAATAAACTCTGGCAAGGTTTTAACTTGATCGCAGACTTTATATTGAAAAATATTGCTTGGGAATGTGATTAATAAAACTTTCTATACTTTCTCTTTGATTTATAGGTTCTAGTAAATGCATATCAAAAGTACCCTTTCCTTCTATTATCGCCACAGTGATGTGTCTTTCAGGGTCAGGAATTTTTTTAGGCTCTGCATATAAAGGAATCACTTTAACTATTCAGATGTACGAAGTCGTTTTCCAAGTCAAAGTTCAAGGGTAATTCTAAAACAAAGTACTTTTAATACAAATGAACTTTTTTTTAAAGCTATTATTTTGTATTCTGTTTATATTACTGATATAATACACGATAATATAATGTGTAGCTGGAAATTGAAATATGAAATATGAAAGTATTCTATAAAAATAATTTAATATATGTAAAGTAATAAATTGCAAATCTTAGTCAATAATTTTCATTTTCCCTTTTATGTTCCATTATAAGAAATGTTTCTTCTGACACCAGTTTGTTTATTATTGGAATAGTTTCACAGATCTTCGAGTGGTATTTGTAGTTCTTTCACTGCTATCAGCCATTTTGGGCACCATTATGATGGTCGTTGGTTTTCTAGCTACAGGATCAACAAGGAACATACTCTATTTTGGCTGGAAGGCTCGAATGGGAGGCCGTGTCTCTTGTGGTTTGGTGAGACTTGTGATTTTTTGTTCTTGTTTTATAGATAATTCCAAATATCCTAATAAATTATTTTAAACTAAGTATACAAAACTGATTTTCATTAAAAAAAAGTAAAGCATTCTTCTCAAATCTTTATAACAATTGGTTGATAGCTTAAATGTGAAATAACATATCTTTGGTTTCAGTTTAAGGTTCAAATTGAACGTTACTTACTTTCGAACATTTCAACTGATTGTATATTGGATTTGCTTTCATTATACCTCAACATATACATGAACTCACTGATTACCTAAAACATTTTATTGTTTAAGGTAGTATTACAACATGTTTTAATAATAATAATAGCAGATAAATAAGTGTTCCTCGGTGGGACAGCGGTAAGTTTTCGGATTTATAACGCTAAAATCTGCGGTTCAATTCCCCTCGGTAGACACAGATGATATCCCGATGTGGCTTTGCCATAATAAAACACACACAGATAAATAATTATCGATAATATCGTTTACCTATGTTATGTATAATATCGTTTATCATCCTTTTTATGAAATGTTAAATAGCTGACTATAGCAAATTAATGTCTTGAAATGATTATAATAGTTGGCATTTTTCGTACGAAGCGTTTAGTTGTGTTCTATAAGCTTTTAGTTTGTCCAAGTGTTGGCGTCCCCTCCTCTGGTGGTTAAGCAGTAATTCAGAATGATTATAACTCTAAAGATCGGGTTTTGATACCCGCGGTGGGCAGAGCACAAACAGCCTATAATGTAGCTTTAACACCAAAGAAACAAACAAAAACAAAATGTTAATCATTGTGTAACTCCTCAACTATCTCCCAGAAATACCACTGTGTACTTTTTATGGGTTAAATCCTTTCCACGGTTTTCAAACATTATATATATATATATATACTCTGCCACTCTTCAGTGGATGTGCTTCCAAAATTCTAAAAGAAGGAATAAGGTATTTAATACCGTTTTGACTTACAATGTCAACTAGATTGCAATGAGTTTACAGTATTGGAAATAATCATGGAAAGGCATAAGTAATTTACATACAGGAGTAAGTTTCTCATTATAACAAGTACAATACAGTATTACATAAAATGCAAAAGAAAACGCTTAAGATCATTGTTTTGTTTTAATATGAATTTCTGTCAAACATATTTTCTTTCTGAGTGAGTGGTATAATGGATAAAAATATGATGTACCTGCCAGCATTTATGGTACCATCAATTCTGTGTAGATTTCTAACACCGTTGGCTGAGATGCAGCTCACAGTTCGGTTTATCCTCCTGCATGATTCAATGTATATGTTGTTTATTGACTGTTATATTGTTCTTCTCTCTGCCATTCAACACAATATCATTGATTGTCGCCAAACAATTTGAATCTCAATTAATCTGTAAATAATAGTGTTTAAGTAATTACACATTCATAGAATACATTTCTCGCTATTGTATATCTTACTCCTCTGGAAGTAACATTCATACCTGTACTTACAGCTAAGCCATCGGCAAGATCTAAATGAGATTGTTGTGTATAACGTAAAGAGCATATCCTGAATTACTTAACACCAATTTTGAAGAGTGTTGGCTTTATACCTCTACCACTTCTTTTATTAACATTACTACTTTCACGTTCCTTTTACAGCTCTTACTGAAAAACGAAATTTAGCTTCAATTGAGAGCATGAAGTAGACTTCACCAACTAAAACTTTGACATTTTACACGTTTTTCATGTGGTATTTTTGTTCAGGAAACCATAATTGCATTAATCCCTCTTTTCCTTGAAATAGTATGACTGTCTATATTTTCATAGGCATTACGTTGGTGTAGCACTGTATAATTGATTGGTTGACAACTAATCCCAGTAGAAACTATCAACATGTGACTGTAATCTGATGCAGTTCATATTCGTACAACGGAGGTGGGCAGTCTCATAATATTTAAATTTTATTCGATGTTTCCATAAATATTTTCAATACTGTGCATTTATACATATAATATTTTCGCTAGACACAACCAACTTTTCACATATTTGATAAATGCCATTACATAAATAAATTATCAGGATTAGATAAAAACCAGATCTAAAAGTAACAATGACACATCTGTTATCAGTTGCTTATAGTGAGAAGTGTTTAACTAACACTTGAAAAAGAAAGGTTACTGAATAAAGAAATACCAAAGCAAAAATACAGAATAAAAATGTATTTGATGGGATCACACTATTCTAGAATATTTCTTTAACAACAACAACAAAAATGCACAGACATTTACAGTAACAAGTGACCTGATATGGCCAGGTGGTTAGGGCGATCGACTCGCAATCTGCTGGTCGCGGGTTTGAATCCCCATCCCACTAAACATGCTGGCTCTTTTAGCCGTAGGGGCGTTATAATGTGCGATCAATCCCACTTTTCGTTTGTAAAAGAGTATCCTAAGAGTTGGCTATGGGTGGTGATGACTAGCTGAATTCCCTCTAGTCTTTCACTGCTAAATTGGAGACGGCTAGAGTAGCTAGCCCTCGTGTAGCTTTGCGCGAATTTCCAAACAAACCAAACCAAACATTAACAAGTAGTCGTTCCATTCACTAATGAACGACTATTAAAAGAAAGTTAAGTTGAATAAACTCAAAAGCTTACTGTCTGTATGAAAATAGAAGTACATCACTGTTTTTTTCAAACATAATATTTATTGATTAAAACTCTTGTATGATTTGAAGGATACATAAACTATTTTTGTCCATTAAAAAACGCTTCTTAAAAAAGAATAAATACCAAATATGTTCACCTTTTCAGCCGTGGTTGAAGATAGATTAGCATTCATGTTTCGGTATCTATCACTTATGTAGATTGTACCTATAATGTATTTCTTATAATTAGTAAAATGAAAAAGAAAAAGCCTGTTGAAAATCAAAGTAAAATGATCTAGAACAAAGCGAAAGAGCTAATGTAGCTTTCGCCTGTTTTAATATAGTGGTTCTTTTACCTAATCTGAACAATCATGTTTTATTCTTGTGATGTTCCATCAAAGTAGTGAGCCATGGAATAATGTACGTTCCAGAGTATGTTAGTTTGTAATTAAGCATAAAGCTGCATAATGGGCTATGTCCACCACGAGTGCTGAAAGCCGGTTTCTAGCGCTTTAAGTCTGCAGACTGACTGCTGTGCCACTGGCTCCAGTGTATGCAAAAAAAAAAAAAAGCTTAAT